GGGTGGTAAAGATAAAGAAAGATATAGAGACAGGCAAAGAGAGAAAGAGACAGAGAGAAACACAGAGACAAGAGAGAGTTAAAAGAACAAAGAGACATTACCTTCTGACTGTCCTCCTTCCACTGTGAGACTTGAACCTCCAGCTTACTGCACTCATCTTTCCACTGTCTCTGCTGGCTCATATCTTGTCTCAGACGGTCAATCTCTCCCTCTAGACGCTTCACCTGGTCATCTCGCTCGCCCACACGGCGCTCGCTTGATGACTTTTCGCTGGTAACTCTCTGTATGATCTGAACAACATCATTGAGGTTACAATATTATTGAGTTTACAGGGGGGGGGGGGGGTTTTGCATACTTTTTAGCACAAGTCTATACAAGTAACGTGCTCCAGAACTCAAAGAAAGAGATCTCACTATGAAACAAAATTCTTAAAAACCAAATTCTGGCTTTTGCGACCCAAAGTGACATGCATCTTTCCATACTTACAGGACCTAATGCAATATCTCTGACTCTGTACTAATTTCACCCAAATAGCCCAACTGTGACAGCTTTTACCTTCTTGTGGGGAACCCCTGAGCTGCAATTAGTACGGACTGGATTAAGGGCTTGCCACAATTTAGAATAATTGTTCAAAGTATAATACATTCCAAAAAACTAATCAACCCATAAATTAATGAGATTATTTAGAGAAATAGGTTAAAAATATACAAGCACCAGAACATGTCAGACCTGTTAACAGCACCACATCCTTTAAACACGCAGGGAGGGGAACTGCAGTTCCAGTTCACTGTATTAGCCTCACCTGTACTTTCTCCTGCAGTGACTTCTCCCTCTTCACCACAATCTCCTTGAGGCAGCGAGAGCTCTCCTTGTACTCCTCTATATCTCTCTTTAGGCCTGAGTTCTCCTTCTCTTTCTCCCCCATCTCCTCCTGCAGCCTCCTCCCTTCCTTCTCTGCACTTTCCTTTGCCAGCTCCAACTTGAACACACTCTCCTCCAGCTCCAGATAGTCCCGGTCCCTCTTTAGCAAGTCTGACTGCAGCTCTGATTTTTCAGACATGAGTTTTTTCGTCTCTTCTTCCTTCTTTCTCTCCCGGTCATCTGCATCTCTCAGCTGAAGCTTGAGCTCTTCCACCTTGAGAACAAAATAAAAAGCTTAAATTAGATTACTATTTTTCTAGAGGTAGGGGTTTTTCTTCCTTTTTCTTGTTTCATTTTTATCGTTCATAAAAGTCTTTACTAGATCTCCTTTTTCAAGGTAATTTTTCCGTCAGTAGACAGAGTGCATGTGTGTCTGTGAGAGTATACATGATTGATTGTGTGAGTGTATGCACGATCTCAGAGAGCAGCATATGTTAGCCGAGAATTTCAATAAGTTTCACTCACTTTCTATCACAACAGACCTCACTTTCTAACAAAAAAGCCAGTCATAATTATACACATTTTGCTACCAGGACCGATAAAGATGACTCTTCACATTTTGTATTCTTTATGAAACCATTCATTCTTCTCCTTTCGCATCATCAAACCCCCTACCCCTAGGTTTGTTGCCCTCAGATGCCAGACAACAGTAGAGGTTGTTCTCCAGCTGCAGAGTCTCTCAACACCTCGTTATACCACATCTGTGATACAACGCATTAACTGCGTAACGGGTGTCTATAAAGTTTTTTAAAAAACAATGAAAAAAAATCCTGAATAAAATTTTACCAGTAGACAAAAAAGTTAGCTCAAAATAATTTTAACACTATTTTAGAGTACACGCTGACCTTATGAGTTCTATTAGGGCTCCACAGATCAGAGGGAAAAAAAGATCTATTCTGCTAGTGACACAATTGGAGCAAAATACCCATCTGACATTCTGTCTGTCCTACTTCATCTGACCAAGTCTCATCACATCTCACCTTTGTGCAAAGCTCCGAGATACTCTGCTCCATACTATCCTGCAGCTGCAGAAACTCCTGGTTTTTCTTGGACATGTAGGTCTGCAGCTTGGTTCTCTCCGCCTTCAGTTTCTTCACTTCCTCCTCCTGTTTGCTCTCTCTATCTTCACTGGAGGACAGCTGCGACCGGAGTTCTGCCGCTGCTTTTTCTGATTCTTCTATCTGCGTCTGTTGGCCTGTGATGCTTTTCTCAAGCTGGGAAATTGCATGTTGAAGTTCTTCCACTCTGGAATTCTTTTCTCTCGCCAGCCTGTTGACAAATGAAATACATGCTGTAACCGCACATTGTCACGCAAGGATTCGGTATGAAAAAGCATGGGTGTTGTGTCCTTAAAATTTATTAAGTCATTTAAGAATCTGTACCTCTGATTTTAATTTTCTTCTCTGATAGTAATGAGCATTGCTTAATTATGCTGTGTCAACTGATGCAGTGTCAGTGCCTGAACTGCCCGTGAGAGGCACGTGTGTGTAACAGTGTGTTACCCATGAAATATCCACTGTGCGTGAACTGTGTGTAGCTTGCTCAACCCGTACATGCTCCTTGTGTCATATCCAGCTGCACTCCACATGTCACCCCCCATGACATATCTGCCTCACCAGCTTCCAATCAACCTGCATGTTGCATGTGTTCCCCACATGACACTTGCATGCTACAAGTGTATGTTGTGTGTGCTATACGTATGACCATAGTGACATATGCTTTTGAGGGGACAACATGTGCAACAATGCTCCCATCCCCAGATCTCACACACTCTCTCTCTCTCTCTCGTTAACACAAAACAGACGGACAGACGGACAGACAGACAGACAGACAGACAGACAGACAGATAGACAGACAGACAGACAGACAAACGCACACATCTACACACACACAAACACATTATCAGAGTGACATCCACCTAGGTAGAGCATGAGCTACCAGTATGAGGCGAGCATTACCTGTGCTGAGTCTCCAGCATCTCCCGCTGCCACGTCGCCTCCTTCTCTTGAAGCTGCTGCTGCAGCCTGGAGATCATGGTCTCCTGGTGTGTGATACGCTGCTGGAAGTGAGACTGGAAGATCAGCAGCTGCTCTGGAAAACAGGAAAAAAGACAGAACCAATTGTAAGCATTAACCAAAATCAGAGTCGTGGAATGATTCAGCTATTCGCCTTGCAGATAAAAGATATGAATTCAATTCCCATGTTGAGAAAATGAATTTAAAGAATCTGCTTTTCTGCCGATATCCTGCATTCCACACTGTGCTGAATGACATTATCTAAACTGTATCAGCAGACTTACAATATGTGCACTTGTTTACAATCATTATTATTCCCAAAACAAATCAAAGTAGAACGCCTCCAGTGTAGTTGGTATAGATCTGCAGCATAAGGAGCACCCTGATTAATACCCCAAGCAGGTCATTCTTAAAATACGCTTGGATGGGCAATTTTCATGGTTCAATGACCTCAAGAGTTCAGTTTCAATCGAGATGGACAACCTGCCCCCCCCCCGCAATGAAGTGTGACCTTGTACTTAAAATCATTCCAAACTTACTCTGCTTGCTTTATATCACCAATTTCGAAAGTTAAAGCTTACTTTCTGCGGTGTGCTTTGTAATTCAATATGAACTGAGCGATATCCATAACTATAATTCTGACTCGGATAACATGACAACATATGTGAACTAAAACAGCAATACATTGGGGAAAACCAAACATCTCAAACAAAACAGAGATTTGTTGGGGGGGGGGGGTTGTAGTTCTCCCACTTACCGGGATCTTTGCCTATGTCTAGCTTCTCAAGCCGCTGTCGTAGTCGTCTAATCTCAGCCAGGTGCTGTCTTAACAGGCTCTCCTCATCGTCATTGATGTTGAACCCAAGCGGGTAACCTCCCTCACTATCATCCTCACCTGGTCGTGTTAAGATACATCGAAAGAAAATTGTAAATCTTGACTGCTAGTAAGTAACAGTATACCGTGTGTCAGCACATTTTGCCGGGACAGATTCGAACCCAAACAGTACTGATAATAAGGAGAAAGATGAGATCACATCAAAGAACACCCACCAATCCCCCCCCCCCCTATAGGTATTAAATCTATCAAATTTGGACAAACAAAACAATAATAACAAAATAACCTTGCCTTTCACACTATCCACCCACGCAACGCGCAGAAACATTTATCCCCACAGACCAGGATACAGGTACAGTACACACTATATCACGCCGTCGCCGATCGGCGTCCCGAGGGGCCAAAGAGTTAATATCAATTTCCACTCCAGACACAAAGCATTAATCAATTTCCTTTTCCGAGATGTTCTAAAGCCATTATTTTGTCACCGTATTATTGACTTGTGTTGACTTTCGTATTTAGTAATTGGACACTACGTGCCAATGGTTATTCAGCAGCGCGAGACAATCACAGCCTAACAGTGGTGGCCTCAACCTACCCTCCAATCAAAGAAGATCAAATGTCAAAAACGCCCAAAATGTCATGAGACAATAAAACTCCAGCACAACATTTATTTACCTTGACGGTGGTTTTCCTCTCCAGGTGTGTCCTTTATGAGCGAGTCTTTACTCAGTGACGGCGACACTTGCGAGGCTGTCGAGTTGCGCTGCAGAGCCTCCAGCAGACGCATCTCCTCCCGCAGGGTGATGTTCATGCTCTCTAAGTACTGAACTTTGACCTGCAGCTGGTTTTTGTTCATGCCTGGTTTTGTTCGATTGAATAAAAATGAAACACATTGACAGAATAACCCTTACACAGTTCAGGGGAAAAATATGTTCAGTTGTTTGAGTAAAAAGCACATCAACACAATAACAGTCACATATAGCAAGGAAAAAGTCAGACGAACAGGCATTGTCAACAGCGGGAGAGAAAAGAAATAGGACCTACCAGTAGCTCCCTACAACCACCACCTCAAGCCTGGTCCCTGAACTAGTATTTAGCAGGAAGATACACACTGGAGTGTGTCTTTGAGCAAGACACGACAACCCTAGCTCAAATTATAGGGCGCTGCACAGTGGCGACCGACAGTGGCATTGTTTGTAAACTGTTCTGTATTTGTGTAATAGTGTGTATTTATGTATGTATTTATGCATGTATGTATTTATGTATGTACGTATTTATAATTATGTATTTATGTATGTATGTTTGCCATTGTAAAACAAAGTGCTCTTCTGGGACAAATAAAAGTGTCATGATTTATTTATTAATTACTTTATTTATAATTGCAATGAAACAGGAAAAATGTACAACCTGCAAACTCCCTGTCCAACCACATGCTTTGATGGTACTCAGGGGAAGCTATCCTGAGTCTTGAACTCACAAAAGTAAGTTCATTTGTTTCAGTAAAGAGAAACACATGAACACGATAGTGATAGTAATGGAGAATAGAAGAACTAAGTAACACTTGATTTGCTGCAAATAAACCGTTGTTTTTTAAAACAGTACTTTTGAGACTAATGTAAGTAGTTAAAATAGTGCACTTTTGAGACAGTAATGTAAATTGTTTTTTTTAAAGTGTACTTGGAGACTTTAAGAATAAATATGGAAGAAAAACAAAAGGGCGAAAAAAAAACCCCCCCAAAAAACAACGTACCCAGGTTGGTGGAGTTGCTGGTATCCTCCACAAGAGCAGATAGATTGGCCAGGGTCCTGTTGACCAGCGTTGCGTCCAGGAAGCTGTGGAGGGTTGTGTTAGGGAAAGCGCTAGCGTCCAGCCGGCTGACGTCCCCTATGATCGAGCGACCCCCCAAACTCTCTCTGACTGTGCCGTTCCCATCATGACAGTAGGCACCATTTCCATCAAAGGCACCATTTCCATCCTGACTGAAGGCGCCATCCCGACTAGGCGAGAGCCAGGACACTCGATAGTTCTGCTGCCGACGAGAAGGACTTCTCTGACCACCTTGTCCCTTCACATCCTCTCCAGCTACCTGGCTCGATCGCTCTGAATTGCGCTGAACCTCCCTGTTCCTCTCAGGATTCTCTCTTGAATGCAAATTTGAAGGGCTGTGGTTTGCGTCTGAAGAAAAAGTGTTGGTTGTCGTGCTGGAAGTAGTGAAGTGACGGCTGTGTCCAACTGGTGAGAGGCTAACACCAGGGAACAAAGTCTGAGGAGACAACAGATTAACGCGTCAATGACCAAGGCTCAATAAAATATTTTTAGTTCCCACTGATGAATAAAAAGACCAAACTGCCAGATAGATATGTGTATCATTTTATGGGAGAGATGGAGGCAGAGACACACACAGACAGATGGGTGTATCATTGTACGGAATTTTAAGCACTTTCCACATTGTAAGTTCACATAAAAGAATAAAAGGAAAGACTTCAAATTTAATGCAAATCTCCGATCAAGACAAGTAAAAGGGTAGAGAGCTTGAAAAACTACCAAATCAATCCAAGTTCATCAACATTCTGAAGGGGGGCTGAAGGGTCATCCACATCATAAAAGATGCGAAAGAAAATGAAAAAACAAATCTAAGCTGATTTAATTAAGAGACACAATATCTACAATTATTAGTTATTCATCGAGGGTCATCTGTATCATAGTCCAATACAACATCAGCTCAGCTTACAGCACATTCAAACAAAGATACCAAAGAAATAACAAATCTTAGATGGTAAAAGACACACAATATCTACAACCTACATGAAAGTTAATTAAAGTTAATTATTCAAACTAACAAATTTCACTCCATGAAGCAGCTGTAGTATAAAGCAAAGATGTATTGGCATCTATGATAACATGGTTAGCTCTCTGCACTGCATGAAAAGAAAGGAAAAGAAATCACATTAACAAGGTGAAATGAATTATGCGAGGGCATATCCCATACAGCTGGAGTTGGCCTGACAAAGTTCCAAGCAGGTTACCCTCTAAAAGTCTTGTGTCAAGGTACATTAAATATTTACTTTTACTAATTTAAGAAGTTAGAAAATAAATTTTTAAAGACTATAACAAAGTTCTCTTATCTCTCAAAATAAAAATCTATACCCACCGAGCTCCCTTGTGAATACGACGCCTTTCTGGAAAGCTCAACAGAATCACCATTGCTGCTGGCCACCGGTGATCTCCCTCTTTTTCCAGGAGATGTTAAGTGGCGTCTCGGTGAGCCGGTACCTGATCCAAAGTGGGAAAAGATTTTTATCCTTCGTGTCGAGTATGTCAGGAAAAGGAAGGAGAACATGTTATGGCATGCTTTTGGTTTTACGTCCCTTTTACTTCAGTGATGTCACGTCATCTCAGAGGACAGACTTCCAACTTAGCATCTATCATCACAAGGACTGAGCCAAGAAAACAAAGCTGCAAGAACTCTCAAACTCAAACCTTTAAATATCCCAATAACACCTTTCTGGCCATGCGACATATATACGTTGTTCCATCATTTTTCCTTATGTAAGGAAGCAGGCTGCTGCAAAGATCGTACATAACAAGATTGTTCACTTGGCAAAAACGTGTCTGCTGATGTCCGCGCATTGCTTCAGATGGCGCTGCAGTCTTTGAAGCTCTCTTTCGTATCTCCAGAAGAAGAATAGGAATATCACAGTTTGTTAGTTTCACTTTTATTGTTTTTCACACAAGTAGGGTAACTCTGTTCGCAAAGTCCGGACTTTTTCTAAGAAGGCGCCACCGAATTCTGAGGACACTTTTTTAATTGGCTCTAGGAGAGGAGTGAACTATCTTGTTACGTACGATCTTTGAGTACAGCGTACACCATGCCTTACGAAGCACGAGGACCATGATGATGAACGGCGTTTATATTCTGCATACTGCTTCTATCAGATGTACTCCGTAAAACTAAAAGAAGATTCACATTTAACGATATTTTATCCATACTAAGAAATCTTTTCCTTTCAGAGATACTTTCACAAACCGGGTCTAATTATAGGAAAACAACTTTGAAATCTGGTGCTACTCTTTGTCCCTGGGGATCCAAATCTGTGCCCAGTGAAGACGAACTGACCCTGTGTCACAAAGAGATTATGGACTCAAACCATGTTCTACATAATACCCAACGAAGGATTAAAACCAGGGTTGCCCACACTGCAGTCCAGCCCGAGGCCAACTGAACAAGCAGAAAACATCCAAATCAAAATAGGATTTATTTCCCTAGAGGCAAAGATCACACCTGCATTGAACTTGAAATTAAAAGGCTGTGAGTTTGATAGCAAGCCCGACCAGGCAGAAAGTTGTATCATCAGGAAAGCTACCTTATCCTTTTTATCTTTTATCCTCTCTGATCCCCCAACTAGGAACATGTACTTGGCAATCAGCAGGAACAGACAAAGAAAGAGAAACAAAAAAGAATACAAAAGAGAAAGAACCGGTAAGCAGAGAGAGAGAGAGAGAGAGAGAGAGAGAGAGAGAGAGAGAGAGAGAGAGAGAGAGAGAGAGAGAGAGAGAGAGAGAGAAAGAGAGAAAGCGAGAGAAAGTGATATGGCAACAGACACACATATAGACAGAGAAGTAAGAAACAACTAAAACAAATTCCCCGGTCTATCTCACCGGCATCCCTGTGGTGGTCACCGGCCGCCAGAGTGTCCAGGCTGCCCACAGACCCGGTGCCTGAGCCGCGAGTCAAGCGACCCATCGTCGACGGTGACACACCCAGGCCGCTGAGACACGTCTCGCTGCTCGAGCGCTGCAGCACAGTATCTGCCAGGCCCGCCGACTCCAGGGCTGCCAGAAAAGCCTTGTTCTTCTTGGACAAATGGCGCACAGTGTTCTCTGTGGCAGTCAATTTGTCCATCAGCTCTTTAATCTGAAACACGGGATTTGTCGGGTTGAGCTTGAGTGTTCTTATTTCTTTCTTTGATAGTGTAAAGAGAAGCACATCGACAGAATAGTGGTCATTTAGCACTGAGAAAAAGTAAGACAGACTGACAGAAACAGAAATAAAAGAGGGAAAGAAAAGAAATAGGACCTACCAGGGGTGCCCTCCAATAACCCACGTTTTTATTTGGGGGGGGGGGGGGG